ACAAAAATGACCCTTCGCCACAGCAAAACAGCACCTAATTGCGTGCCGAAACCGTGCTCAAACTTACCCACAAAAACTGCCTAACGCCCCTTCTGAATTCCTAGAAAAAATTTCCCTTTTTTATTTTATTTGTTTCCTGCTGCTGTTGTTTGGTGGCTCCAAGCTGCAAGCATCAGGCTTCCAGAAGGAACCCTTCGCCACAGCAAAACAGCACCTAATTGCGTGCCGAAACCGTGCTCAAACTTATCCACAAAAACTGCCTAACGTCCCTTCTGAATTCCTAGAAAAAATGTCTGTCTTTTTCTGTCTCCTGCAGCTTTTGTTTGGTGGCGCCAAGCTGCAAGCATCAGTCCTCCAGAACGGACCCTTCGCCACAGCAAAACAGCACCTAATTGCGTGCCGAAACCGTGCTCAAACTTATCCACAAAAACTGCCTAACGTCCCTTCTGAATTCCTAGAAAAAATCTCTTTTTCTGTCTCCTGCAGCTGCTGTTTGGTGGCTCCAAGCTGCAAGCATCAGCCCTCCAGAACGGACCCTTCGCCACAGCAAAACAGCACCTAATTGCGTGCCGAAACCGTGCTCAAACTTATCAACAAAAACTGCCTAACGTCCCTTCTGAATTCCTAGAAGAAATTCTCTTTTCTGTCTCCTGCAGCTGTTGTTTGGTGGCTCCAAGCTGCAAGCATCAGGCTTCCAGAACGGACCCTTCGCCACAGCAAAACAGCACCTAATTGTGTGCCGAAACCGTGCTCAAACTTACCCACAAAAACTGCCTAACGCCCCTTCTGAATTCCTAGAAAAAAATCTTTTTCTGTCTCCTGCAGCTGTTGTTTGGTGGCTCCAAGCTGCAAGCATCAGGCTTCCAGAAGGAACCCTTCGCCACAGCAAAACAGCACCTAATTGCGTGCCGAAACCGTGCTCAAACTTACCCACAAAAACTGCCTAACGCCCCTTGTGAATTCCTAGAAAAAATCTATCTTTTTTTGTTTTTTAGTTTCCTGCAGCTGTTGTCTGGTAGCTCCAAACTGCAAGCATCAGGCTTCCAGAAGGGGCCCTTCGCCACAGCAAAACAGCATCTAATTGCGTGCCGAAACCGTGCTCAAACTGACCCACAAAAATGACCCTTCGCCACAGCAAAACAGCACCTAATTGCGTGCCGAAACCGTGCTCAAACTTACCCACAAAAACTGCCTAACGCCCCTTCTGAATTCCTAGAAAAAATCTCTTTTTCTGTCTCCTGCAGCTGTTGTTTGGTGGCTCCAAGCTGCAAGCATCAGGCTTCCAGAAGGAACCCTTCGCCACAGCAAAACAGCACCTAATTGCGTGCCGAAACCGTGCTCAAACTTACCCACGAAAACTGCCTAACGCCCCTTCTGAATTCCTAGAAAAATGTTTTTCTCTTTTTTTGTCTCCTGCAGCTGTTGTCTGGTGGCTCCAAACTGCAAGCATCAGCCCTCCAGAACGAACCCTTTGCCACAGCAAAACAGCACCTAATTGTGTGCTGAAACCGTGCTCAAACTTACCCACAAAAACTGCCTAACGTCCCTTCTGAATGCCTAGAAAAAATCTCTCTTTATTTGTCTCCTGCAGCTCTTGTTTGGTAGCTCCAAGCTGCAAGCATCAGGCTTCCAGAAGGGACCCTTCGCCACAGCAAAACAGCACCTAATTGCGTGCCGAAACCGTGCTCAAACTTACCCACAAAAACTGCCTAACGCCCCTTCTGAATTCCTAGAAAAAATATCTCTTTTTTTGTGCATCAGGCTTCGACTGGCTGCCTGCTACCTGCTTCTTGACTGCTGGCCCTGCTGGCTACTCGCTGCTGGCTGCTACCTAGAGAATCCATAAATCCTAGAGAATCTCTTCGGGAATCCTAGACTACAAAAACGCGGGCCCCGGACTGCGAAACATCATATTGCTGCTGCTGCCTGCCTGCTGCTTACCCTTATAAGTACAAGCTGCATGGCTTTGTGACTGCCTGCTGCTGCCTACTGCTGCCTGCTGCTGCCTGCTGCTGCTGCTGTTGCAAGCTTCCAAATGGTCGGCGGAAAATGTCTTATTCCCTGGCGCGCTCCCCCTTGCGTCGGCCGGGGTCAACATGGCACACGGGTCTGCAACGCATGTCATGTGGCCACAGTCCAAGCTGCCATCCGCAAGCGTGCCGCAGCGTTGAATGCAGAACCCCAAAAAGGGCCTAACGTCACTTCTGAAACCCTACTATAAAATTGAAACTTTGCCGCTGCCTGCCGCTGCCTGCTGCTGCCTGCTGCCTGCTGCTGCCTGCTGCTGCCTGCTGCTGCCTGCTCCTGCCTGCTGCTGCCTGCTGCTGGCTGCTGCTGGCTGCTGCCTGCTGCTGCCTGCTGCTGCCATGCTGCTGGCAGAAGCTGCTTGCTGCCTGCTGCTGCTGCTGGTGCTGCTACTGGTGGCTGCTCCTGCTGCTGCTGTGGTGCTGCTGTGGTGCTGCTGCGTCGGCCGGGGTCAACATGGCACACGGGTCTGCAACGCATGTCATGTGGCCACAGTCCAAGCTGCCATCCGCAAGCGTGCCGCAGCGTTGAATGCAGAACCCCAAGAAGGGCCTAACGTCACTTCTGAAACCCTACTATAAAATTGAAACTTTGCCGCTGCCTGCCGCTGCCTGCCGCTGCCTGCTGCTGCCTGCTGCCTGCTGCTGCCTGCTGCTGCCTGCTCCTGCTGCTGCTGCCTGCCTGCTGCTGGCTGCTGCTGCTGCTGCCTGCTGCTGCCTGCTGCTGCCTGCTGCTGCCTGCTGCTGCCTGCTGCTGCCTGCTGCTGCATGCTGCTGGCAGAAGCTGCTTGCTGCCTGTTGCTGCCTGCTGCTGGTGCTGCTACTGGTGGCTGCTCCTGCTGCTGCTGCTGTGGTGCTGCTGCAATCAAACAGCCTCCAAAGCAAGAAACAAACAGCCAGACACCCTTTTCGAAACACATCCGAAAGAGCAAAAACGTAGCAATGGAACCCCAAAAAAGGGCCTAACGTCACTTCTGAAACCCTACTATAAAATTGAAACTTTGCCGCTCCTGCTGCTGCCTGCTGCTGCCTGCTCCTGCCTGCTGCTGGCTGCTGCTGGATGGGAAAACACCATGGCAGTGAAGGACGGAGAAACCCCAAAATTGCACCCCATAAATGCCTAACGAAAACGCATAGAAAATGATGATTTTGGTTGCTTTTTCCTCTTGCTGCTGCTATGAATTTTGGCTACCTTTTCCTCCTGCTGCTGCAGAGGCTTTTGCTGCTGCTGCTGGTCCCCGACCCGTTGTTGTATTTCTTGTTGTCCACAACCTCTCTTCCCTGACGCGCTCCCCCTTGCGGTCGGCCGGGGTCGGCGGATAATATCATATTAATGCATGTATTGGACACATAACCTATATCTATATATATATATATATCCATCAGATACTGATGCATACATGATCATTAATATATCATCATCCATCAGTTTGGATAGGCTGAAAAACATCTTGAAAAACTGTGTCTTCAGCTGAAGCGTCGGATGGTTCCAGGCTTCTCAGCCTTGCGCGAGAAATTCTTCCAAGACAAGCCGGAGTTGGCCTCTTGGCTGAGGTGATCCCAATCGAAGATGGGAGGCCACTGCGGTGGAACCATCAACCATCAACCATCAACCATCCACTCATCCAACGAACATCTCCCCCCACCAGGTGGCCAAAGATTCCCAGTCGCGCCAAGGAAAAAGACCCGAACCTTGATCCGCTCTTCTTGCGTCCTGCACGAGCCAGGGCCCTACTCAGCCGTGGTGTTAATTTATGAAAGTACAGAATCATGGTGCGGACATGAAAGATTTTACATGTGCAGGTACACGTATAGGTATCCATCTATTTGCCTGCCTGGCTATCTATCATCAATAGCAGCTATAGACATATGCATATATAAAGATATAGATTTGAAATCTGCATACAATGGTGTATAGTTATCAGGGGTGTTTGCTAACTCGTGTCAGCCCCGCCGCAACTTCAGATGATGGCGCCACCACCTGCACTGGCGCCACACGAGAACCAGGGCTGGAAGGCGCGGGAGGGATTTGGTGCATCCGAAGATGGGGATGTTGTGGTAAACCCAATCAAGCTACCATTTGGGGATGTTTTTTTCCCCCCCACATGGCAATACTGGGGACGGTTTATATTTGGGTTTACCAGATATTTCGCGGGGATACAGATGGAATATGATGATGCCATGGGGTTTTTAAGCATTCACCATGGGCTTTCTAGGTACGAGTGCGCAATCTGCACCCATCAAGCCTTGCTCAGCACTTTCAAAACTTTCGTTTCTTACTGAATTTTGAATGAACTGTCCAAGAACCTTTCCGAAAGTGTGCTGGCTGATCATTTCGAATGTTTCCATCACGCCTTCTGGCAGGGCAAGAGGCCGCAACATGACACGAGGCATCCAGCCTCCTATGCAGCGGCACGGGAAGCCCAGCGAGGTCTTCCCAGGGGGTCGATTCCTCCATGTCCCAACTCATTGAACTGGGGAGGCTTCCTGTAGGTCAAAGGAATTTTGGAGCTTCCACTTTCTTTTTTTATGTGTTGCACAAACCCAAATTCCAGAAAATATATATCTTGTATATTATATACATTGTACTGCTGTATATTATACACATTAATACCCTTATATTATCCCTATATTACATATACGTATATATATATATATAATTATATATGACTTTCAACAATGACTTGCCGTTACCATTCTCAAGCTTCATGCCCCCGTGGTTCGAAGAGGTTTTCCGGTTGCTTGCAGTGGGTTCGGGTTCGTCGTGGTTTGGTCTGGTTTGTCCTGCCCATTGCACGACTTCCGTCCCCTACTTGCTTGCCTTGTTTGGTTCTGGGTTGTGCTTGGGTGTGGTCCTGACTTTGTGCCTTGGACTTTATCTTTACTTTTGCTTGTCCTTTGGCCCTTCTGTTGGTGTTCCACTTGCTCGCCCACCTCTTCGTCCCACAGCTTCTGCCCGGCTCTTAGCCTATCTGCATGAGCGTGCCCAACATCCTAATCACTGCGATTAGGAGTGCTGTGTCTTCACTGCGTGCCATTGCCAACTCGCTTGAGGCTGCATTGAACGGTGCCGAGGCCGTAAGCTCTGCCTGTGCTGGCCCCCGGGCCCCTGATCCTGGTCTGTCTGTGGACTCTGACTTGGAATCTGTTCCTTGGGCTTCTGTCGGTGTCTCTTCTGGCCTCTCGGCTTCTCGGATCTCCAGTCACGACGAAGTTGCTCAACTTCTCACTTCTGCTCCTCCTGCTTGCCACCAAATCTGTGCAGCTCTCCAGTGTTCCCCTGAGGAGAGAAATCAGAGAGTACAACGTGCTTGGGAGGCAGGACTTTGGGCTAAGGCCACCTTGCTTGGCCAGATCGACCGGCCTAGGCCAACCCCAAAGCTGGACAAGCGACCTGTCACCTACATCATTCTCAGGGCTCCTGGACTTGCAACCCCCACCCGAGTGGCAACCTCTGCGGAATACTTCCAGATCATCCCCAGGTTCACGCCTGAAAGTGTCTCCCATTCCTTTGCCTCTCTCGGAGAAGGGAAGGTGTACTGTTTGGCCGCTGGAGTTGATTTTCCTGAGCCCAGGTCGAGATGATGGACCCTGCGCCAGTGCTGTCTCTTGCAGAGGTGAAAACTTTGGATCAAGGTCCTGCTCCTCTTTATGTGCTCCTCCTTCCAGAAGTGTCCGATCCTTCTTCAGGAGTCGTTCTTCCAGAGGTTCAGGTGTTGGCTATTCCCATACTCTCCAGACAAGACGGTCTGTTGCTGGCCATCCCATCGGATTCATTCCCTCCAGAGGTGATATATCCAGTAGAGCCTCCCCAACCTCGAGCCTTGATAGGTCCTGCAAAGGAGGTTTTTGTGCTGGCCGCATCCGACGACGATGCTGGTTTGGAGAAGGCCTTGGACTACCAAATAGCATGCCTCTTGGTGGACTTCGACACTGCCGTGTTGCCCAGGTTGAGGGGATTAGACCCTGTGACAGAAGGACCAGGGATCCATTGTTTCTCAGAAGGCACTATAGAGATATATCCTTCATCCTCGGAGCTTTTGACAGCAGCCTACACATGGTTCCAGGAGGAGCAAGAAGGAAGAGTAGCTTTTTACTCGGCAGCAGAGGATTCTCCCCCCCAACAGGCTCCCACAGTCGCGAAGGCAACCCAAGCCAAAGCCAAGCAGAAGCATCCTCCCCCAAAGAGGATTACAACAGCTACCCTTTCTCAGCAGCTTGCCACTCTGACGGAGACAATCCCGGCCCTGTCTACCTCTCTTGCGGCTATGCAGCGCAGGCAGGATCAGATGGAGCAGTCCATGGCTCAGCATCCCATTCAGCCTCCCGCACCACAACGTCAGGAGTTTGGATTTGTGACTCCAGGTGCCAAGCAGCCCCTACCGAGCCCTTCTCAGTTCCTTCGCCAGGTGGGACCCCCACCAAAAGTTCGGATGCCCCAGCGTTCCAGACAACAGGAACAGATGCCAGAAGACGAGCCCACTGCGCCCTTGGAGGAGATGGACCTGTCTTTGGAGGAGGAGGGCCAGCAGGCTTCCATAGCTCAGATGTTGCTCAAGCAACAGATGGCTCTGAACACCTTAGTGTCCCACATCGCCAGTCAGGATGGGCTTCAAGACTTGGGAGGATCTGCATCAGCATCTTCGACCATCTCTCTGAAGGGGTCCGCCCGCAGAGATCGCTTGCTTGCCGATCTAGCTGCTCGGAAGAGCAACTTTTTCTTGAAGGTGGCCCAGAATGCTCATCGACGCTTGAAGCCTGCAGAGATGGTTCCGGCTACATTGGCGGACTTTCCCCAAAAGGCCTTGTTCACCAAGTACCTGGAAAAGCAGGGGGGCTACACCGGCTATCAGAGGGACCTGGGTCTGACTATGTGGTTGCTGGGCCATGTGGCAGACCAATTTCTCATGGAGGATTTCAAGAGTGCCCAGGAGATGTTAGCTCTTGCAATGGTGGCCATCGAGCAGAGTGCGATGGACAATGGGAAATGGGAGGTGGCATGGATCCTAGCTTTGCAGGAAGATCCACCCCAACAGCTCTTTGCCCACAGACCCCAGGCCACAAATCCGAGGCTGAGGGCCTTCGGGCCTTTGTGCCCAGCAGACTGGGGGGCCACTGCTCTGGCCTACATAAAGGAGCTGGATCTTCTCAGCAGTCGACGTGCCGAGGCTCTCCCCAAGAAGCAAGGAGGAGGAAAGGCGGAGGACGATGCTGGAGATCCAGCCAAAAGACCAAAGCAGCCCAGGTATCCGAGAAAGCCCAAAGCCCAAGGAGGGCAAAGCCAAGCAGAAAGCACATGAGGCATGACAGCACAGGCATAGCAAAGTCTAGCCCCTCAAGCAATAGTGTCTTCTTCGTAGGCCAGTCTTGCCCTAGTTCCGGGAATGTGGATTTTCCTTCCTCCTGCCGGGCCAATGGACTTTCGGCCGATGACGCTTTGCCTAATTGGTCTTCCCTTCAGACCTTTTCCTTCTTGCAGTGGACTTCGTCGCTTTGTCGTCAGGTCTTAAGCAGTTGTGCCCCTTTTGCATGTTTCCTGAAGCGGATTCTCCACATTGTCAGGTCGCCCGAAGTTGCGCCTGCAAAAGTTTTGTATCCTCTCCCTCTGCCGAAGGTTGGTGTTTTTCAAGTTTCAGCAAAGGCGGGTTCCAAAGATCGAAGGCGAAAGGCTTTTGACCAGGCAGTTCATATCACCGTGATGGCTTTGAACTTTTGGTATGTCGGTTTTAAGTCTCCACCTTTGGACTCTTTGGCTCCCACCCCATCACTTTCCCAAGCAGATGTCCTGGATGGAATTCGGAGAATGGTCAAGACTTTCGGTAGCTGTAGGGGTACATTTGAGATTCCCTCCAGTGGCCGAAGATCAACCTTTTTGATTGCCCAGCTTGCTGATCTTTCCGAATTTGTTTTCTGGGGGGGTCTGGCTGGTGCGTCCTGTTCACGGGGTTTCCAGGGTTCCCAAGAGCCTCTAGGAGCCTTCATGCATGTTCCAGTAGGTAAGACCAGGGCACCTGAGCTGGTTCCATACAGCAGCCTCAACCCAGAAAGACTCAGGCTGTATAGCTCAGGAACCTGGGATGCTTCACAGTTTTTGTCCGATCCATTTTGGATGGCTTTTTGCGAACCTTCCTTGCTCAGATGGACTTCGACTGAGAGGTCGCCTGATGTCCTTGATGTTGAGAAGGAGGACTATGATGCCGTACGTAGGTTGGTGAAGTTGTGGGATGCGAGAGGACTCCTTTTCTTGCGTGATGAGCCGATGTCAGGTGATGAGGCTGACCTCTCCATGCGTTTATTCAACTGCCACAAGAATGTCAGTGCGGACCGCATGATAGGGGATAGGAGAGCTATGAACTTTGTGGAAGGCACCATCCCAGGTGCTTCACGTTGTTTGCCTTCAGTCCTTCTTTTGGCAAATTTGAAAGAGACTCTTGCGTTTTCAGCTTGGTGCGAAAGAAATCAGAAGAAGTCTGCCTATGATCGACTGAAGCATGACGATCTTTTTGAAAGGGGTGGTCTTGGATTTTGGAAGAGGAAGTCGAAGGTGCCAGACTGGTTTCAGAGCCGTTTTGCCAGCATCCCTCAGGGTGACCACTTTGGAGTTGAATTTGCAGTTGATGTCCACCGAAACCTCTTGAAGGACTATGGACTTCTTTGTGATGACCAGGAGCTTAGACCTGACAGGCTGTTTCGTGGAAGGAAGGTTGCCTCAGGTTTGGTGATGGATGACTTCTACACTGTGTCAGTGCAGGACGTGTATGACAGCCATGTGTCCTCTGCTTCTCGTGCGCATCTTCTCACGGCATCTCAGGCTTATGATGACCATGAGACTCTGGGCTCCAAAGAGAAGGACGTTATTGGTCCTGACAAAGCAAAGGTCACAGGGGCTGAATTGGGCACGTCGGCAGCGGTGAAGGAGCTCAACATGGCCACTTTGGCATCACCCACCATGAAGCGTTTGGCCTTGAATTTTGTTTCATTGGAGCTTGCAAAAATGCGGTGCTGGTCTATGATGTCACTTTTGGACTTCAGTTTTGGCTTTGTTTTGAATGATGAAGTGCGAGAAGATGGCCCCAAGCTGATACTGTTGTCGCGCGCGGTAGCACAAGAGTTGGTGCCCCTGGCAGTGCTATGCCCCTTCATGGCCGCTGACTTGATGGCCCGGATTTCGCCCACCATTTTTGCGTCTGACTCCTCTGACAAAAAGGGGGCCATCGTTGCTACGGATGCGAATGAGGAGGTTGCCCGCGCCCTTTGGAGATCGGGCAAAAAGAAAGGTGGTTATATCAGGTTGCTGAACCAAACTCAGGCCCTTTTGAAGAAGTTGGACCCAGACTTTGAGGAGCCTGAAAGGTGGCGGCTGCAATGTCAAGACATGGCTGGAACGCGCACGAAGATGCGGCGCCTAGAGGAGTGGCAGAGGCTTCTGGAGTTAGGCAAGGCTGGAGAGACCTGGACCGCAAGTTGTATGTTTGGTAGCACTCACAACAAAGAACTCATGTCCCTGTTTTGCCTTTTAGCAGCCCAAAGCTTGCACCGGAAGTGTGACCTCAGCCACATGCATGTCAAGGTTCAAGGTCAGTTCACCAAGATTACGGCCGTCTATACCGATGACCTAGCAGAAGCTCTTGCCGCTGTCTTCAGTAGAGCCATAGCCAAAAAGTTGCGAAAAGAAACGTTATCAGAGCCAGAAGTCCGAGGTTGGGAAAGCCCCTTATGCAATGATGTGCTTGTCAGTGCGCGATGGAGGCCTGTCTCCTTATGGACTTGGAGAGGACCTCATCACATCAATGTTTTGGAAGGCTGTGTGGTGTTGTCCTTCCGGAAGAAACTGGTTTTGGTCTCCCCAGGTGTCCGTCAGGTTTTTGCTTTGGACCCCAGCGTTGGACTTCCTGCCCTTGCCAAAGGTCGTTCACCGTCCTATGGACTTCGTCCTTTCATCAGGAAGGCAGGGGCCTCCGTTGTCGCTGAGCGTTTGTACCCTGCATACCAGTTCGCCCCAACACGGTTGAATCCTGCTGATCGCCCTACCAGAGACAATGCCCCTCCGCCTTCCTTGATGAGTTCTCTGCCTCTTTCACCGGAACTTGCGGACCTTTTGGATTTTGCCGAGATTTCCATGCTTTCATGGCCTGCTGCAAATTGGGTTCGGCTTGTAGTTTCGCTGAGAGGAGTGTCTCTTCCTCGGTTTCATCCAGGTGAATGCTGGAGGTTTGCTGGGTATGCCTTCAAGCATTATCTCTTCCAAAAGCCTGTTGCACTGAGGCTCGACCATTTCCGTTTGGGGAGTTTTGATTCCACTTTGGGTTTCCCCGGTGAAGGACCTTTTTGGATTTTGCCTTGTGGATTTTCCCTTTTGGGCTTTGCTGGATTTTGCCGATGGATTTCTCTCTCCTTCGTGTGGTGGGCAGGTTGGTGTGTGTTCCTCTGCTGTGCTTCCTGTTCGGTGTGTCTGCGTCGGAAGTCTTGGTTCCTGTTTGGACTTCTCTTTTGCATGCCGGTCGGTTCGTGTGTCAGCCATGGCCCGGTGCTTGCCCCAAGAAACCCTGGCGACAAGAGACGAGCTGGTCTGAGGTCATCCGTGGTTCTGCCAGAAGGACGACCAGTGTTAGGGAAGACACAACTCCAGCGAGACCGCTTGCTGGATGAGTTCGACAGGTGGCTTAGAGAGGATGGTCTCTCGCTGGAAACATTGATTGGAACTGCTGAAATTGATATAGAGCTCTTGAACCTTCAGTTGGAAAGGTATGGCAGATCGCTTTTCCTGTCTGGGAGGCCTTATAATCATTATGCAGAGACAATCAATGGGGTTGGGAGCCGCCGACCTCGTGTGCGCAGGTTGCTGCAGCAAGCATGGGACCTGGCCTATGCATGGGTTAGACAGGAGCCTCCATGTCACCATTTAGCGCTTCCGTGGCAGGCATTGCTGAGTTTGGTTGCAACTGCTTTTTACTGGGGTTGGATAAAGGAGGCAGGAATTATCGCTCTGTCCTGGGGTGGTCTCACGAGAATCGGTGAAGCACTTGGTGCTTTCAGATGGCAGCTGGTTCTACCAAGAGACATCGAGTACACTGCGGATTATGCCCTTTTACAGATCGACGAGCCGAAGACCAGGTATCGTGCGGCTCGACACCAAGTAGCAAAGATCGACCAGCCTCAATTGATGTCAGTGCTGGATGTGGCTTTTGGACGCTTGGGTCAGAAACAACCTCTCTGGCCTTTTTCTGGACAAACAATGCGACTGCGCTTTCAAAAGCTGCTGGCGGCAAATGGTTTGGACAGGCTACCGAAATCCATATCCAGAGGTTTAGACCTGGGAAGCCTAAGAGCTGGTGGTGCTTCGTGGCTCATGGCAGTGACGGATAACCCAGATCTGACGAGACGCCGAGGCAGATGGATCACCAATAAGGTGATGGAAATCTACGTGCAAGAAATCTCCGCGGTGCAGTTCATTCCCAACCTGCCTCAAGCGTCGAAACGTCAGATCACAAATGGAGCGGCCCTCTTTCCATGGATGCTGGAACATGTACAGAGCTTGAGTCGGATGCAGATTCCTTCAAGCGTTTGGCCAATTTTCTTCCAGGAAGCAGCTGACAAGCTTGTATCAAATGGGTGAGTGTGTGGTGGCCTTTTGAAGAAGTTGGGTGTTTCAGACATTTTTGGTCAAATGACCGTGTCGAGACTCCTGCAGAATGTGGAGAAAAATGGGTGAGGCATTGAATTGTTGACTTTCAACAATGACTTGCCGTTACCATTCTCAAGCTTCCCCAGAACCCACGCCGCCCTGCTGCTTCCTGGGTGTTTCAGACATTTTTGGTCAAATGACCGTGTCGAGACTCCTGCAGAATGTGGAGAAAAATGGGTGAGGCATTGAATGGTTATATATATATATATAAGGTAGATATTAAATATATCCCATGATCTCCCCATCAATCGGCATTTCTTTGGCGCTTAAAATCCCAGGCGGATTTTGAAGCTGCGAACTATGGCGTCTGTTGGGACCTCCCAGTGCTGATCCTGACGGCCTGGTTGAGTCAGATATGGACATCAATATGAGATGTATGACATACATGTATTATGTAAGTATATATATATATAATGTGTACAGTATACAGAACTGTAGTTTTTTTTTAAAAAATAAACATATAACTGTGTATATACATATACATGTATATACACATAATATTCGTGAGCCGTGTTCAATACCTTTGGTGGGTGATGATTATAGGGGGTTATACTACCCAATATATTGCGGATTATCATAGTCCATTCTAGGAATCCCTCTTAAGCAGCTGAGGATTGAACACAGCTCGCATAAGCACATATCAATACACCGATGATAAGCGTCCTCAAATCCTCAACTGCAGATGAAGTAGGCCTCAATGGTCAGGCTCAGGAGGTCAAGTGCCATGCGAAAGATGTGCAAACTCCTTCATGGGGCAAAAAAGAGGGTTGGGACTTCTCCTTCAATTTTCCAAACTGACACATCGCAAGGGGATTTTCACAATTTATTGATGATCAGTTTAGTTTAAACCTCAACATTTTATCGATCAGTTTTGAAACCAGACACATCCATTTCTTTTTATGTATTGTTTTTTCCCTTTTACTTCCAACATTTTCCAACATTTTCCGATGGTTGTATCCCCAAGTAGTCCCGGCCCCGCAAGAAACCTGGCCCCTTGGCCCCTCCCAGGCACTCATTGTCACACGCACCTGCACGGACGGGACGTTTGCCAACGATGTGGCGCTAGGGTGCGCCGGTTCAAGTCATGGCGCTCACTGTCCATGGGGAAAATACGAAAAACTAACAGCTGGGATGATTGATCAATCATCAACTGTGGAAATTATCCTGTTTTCAGACAAACACACGCAAAATGGGGTTGGAAGATGATGTTCACATTGGACATGGTCATCAGTTTTATTTTGGCCTGTCTAGAGTAGACAGTCGAATCCAGCATAGACAAATCCCAACGTAGTTTGTTTCCTCCCAAATCCATTTGCGTGTTTCCAAGAGGCCCCAAAAAAGTTGCGTCTAGAGATCCTATCTGTACACATTTTGTTGGGGTCTGAAACTAGGGTACTCCATCCATCCACTTCACTAGTTGATCATCATGGTCCCTGTTTACATTTTCAGACACACCCAGATATATTGTTTGCTATACATCCCATCTTGGTCCCATTCCATTTCCATTCTGCCCCCATTGTTGTTGGTTCAATCCTCCATTAAATCCCTATTACAATTAGTATATCCCCATAAAATCCAAAAGTCATTATCATTAAATTCCCATTAACTTGCTATAAGGGTATAATCATCATGATACGATGTGGGTGAAACAATAATAAACCATCCCCCAAATCACCATAAATAGGTGGTATAAACTATTCCCAAATGGATGTGGTTGTTATTGTTTTAACCACATTAGTCGTTACCCTCTGGTAAACCAACATAACTATGGAACATCACCATCTTTAATTGGTAAATCCACTATTTCTATGGCCATTTTCAATAGCTTTTTGTTAAATTACCGGAGGGTATATCCATCAATATCCCAGTACTATCCCAGCAAATCATCCCTTTTTTAAACCATATGGGTATGGATCAATACCTATTAATACCTTTTTAGTGGGATGAACATCCATTTACCAGCTATTTTGATGTTCACCAGGGGTACAAGGTTTTGACACACTGCCATATTAAACCATAGTAAACCCATTAAACCTCCATTAGTATATCCCCATAGAAGCCATGATGCCACCATCTCGCCACCTCACTGGGGACCCCAGGCGCCTTCACAGGGCCGGCAGAGCAAGACCAATAGCCGCGTTGGCTGGTAGAGACCGTTGCCCAACGTTGGAAAAACCACGGAAAAACCATGGAAATTATATGGAAATTATATGGACATTATATGGAAAAATATATCCCAATCATCTAAATTTCATCATCATTCATAGGAAAATTTTTGTAGACATACATGGAAATTTATGGAAATACCTGGAAATTTATGGAAATACATGATGTTTAAATAACAGGTGCCAATTTGGGTGGCGAAAATGATCAATATCCCATTTGGAGCAAATTTCTGGGTCAAACCCATGGCACAACTGACAATATTGACAAGCCAGGATGCCATGAAATAGAAAAAAACAAGACCTGTGGTACCCATGTCAGTCAACCCCGGAAAAATAGAGTTGAACTCCTTTGGTATTCAAAGACAAGTCGATGCAACACATTGACTGAGTGGTGTTTTCCTTCAGACTTTCGTTTTTTCCTTATTCTTGAGAGATCAAATTATACCACTTACAATTATTGAATAATTACAATTATATACTAAGTCATGCTTTGTCGTTGAAGTTCTGAAGACTAAGCAGTTTCTCAGATGGGACTATGCTCTGTTGGGCGCAACTGGCAGCATTTTCCAGCGAGCGCAAGACAGCGATGGAATTCTTGCGAGGAGCAGACTCGACAGAAGGCCAACAAGGTGTGACCCTATGGGTCCGATAAGTAAACGCACAAAAAAAAAGTCCCACTTTTTGCATTGCTTGGTCAGTGAGGGATTCTTTTAGGCTCTTATTTGTTTGGGATTCCCAAACCAACATAAGCCAACTGCATATCTGACAGGCTTTTCTGCTTCCAGCAACCACCAGGTGCAGAAGGCAATCCAGAGAAGAAGCAAGAAATCTCCAAAAAAAGGGTTGCCTTGCCCTCGGTTTTTATCCAAAATCCTGATAGCCACATTGAAACTCCGGCGCAAGAGTTCTTACCATCATGGCAGCTTGTTTGGACTGCCCGACAGCACGAAAGCGCCAACAAATCGACCAAGTGAAATTTGCTAGAGTCCAATCAGATTACAGGTTGTTTGCTGATAATGGGTATGAAACCAATCAAAGATGAAGGTTTGGATGGCTTTTCAATGGTATCACCAAACTGGGCGCTGCACTGCTGTCGGGGCCATCTCCATCATCGGGTTTCCCTGAGAATCGGCGCGTGTGGCTTCACCCTGGCGTCGTGCTCGACTTGAGATCAACGGCGAACGTGGTTCAACCATGTTCAACCAAGTGGTATATGGCTTTGGCTGAAAAGAATTAGGGGGTTTTACCAATCCAAAAAATGATGAACCATGGCTATTTCAATCTATTTTGAGAGGGAAAATGATGATAAATCACCAGATATTGCGGGTAGCCGATGTTGTTGTAGTTCACCTGTCACACTGTTTGCGAAGCCTGGCCCACGGCGAAGCTGCAATCACTCCTTCCGTTGCCGCGGCAATGGGAAGGAACTGTTGGGATGCGGAGAGGGGGCGACGTGGCGGGGGGTCAAACAGCAGTAGACTCAGCAGACGTTTGCTGTTTTGGGTCTTGAGGATGTGTGGACTTTCCTCCGTCGCGCCTGCCCTATGACAGGACTGAGTTTAAAAACAAAAAATCGCATAATTGTCCCTGCGGACAGGACTGGAACTGAAGACTGCACGGCTGAGTTGGGATGGCTGGATCCCTCCCGAGCCAAAGGGGCTTGGGTGTCTTTAGTGCCATGGGGCCAACCGCGAAGGACCCATGGCCAGTCCGGATGTCTCAGGCAGTACCTTGACGCTGCCAAAGCTGAGACGGACGGCATGAATTCGAATGGATTTATGGATGGTCTGATGGTCAGGCAGCTGGATGGTGAGTTCATAGGAGCTGTAATAAGGGCCAACAAATCCAATTTTTGTTTGGAATCTTCAAGTCCCGTAAGCCTGTCACCATCACTGCCCCTAAACTGGTCAAACACTGGTGGGGCCAGAGTGTATGCTAGACACAGAGACACTGAAGTCTATTAGAAACATGGTGGCTCATTACCACCTCCGGCGCAAAGGTACGTCACCCCCCAGCGGTCGTTTCAAGCCTTTGGGGGGCGCAAAGTCGAAGAAACCGAGGGGCAGCAGATCCGGCAATCCTGAGTCAGCCTTGTCCGCAAAACCGGCGCGTGGTGGGGATGGGACACACTGCAATTGGACAGTCCCAGTGGGAGCAGAGACCAGTTTCATGGAAATGCCACAGGTCATGGACAGCAAGGAGATGGATGAGAGCAAACCATCGCAAGGTGAGGCATGGGAAGAGTTTGGAAGAGGTGGGCACATCCGAATATGTGGGATACATCTCCTGTGATGGACCATCCAGGGGGTGGATTTTGGTGATGAATCTGATCATGACCATGCCTTGAAGGCAATCAAAGGTAACAAGGCTAGGTGGTGCAGATTCCCCCAAGCAGGACGGCTGAAACTTGGTCAGCATAATTGACACTGGCTTTGAGTCAGGATCTTGCCACGCACTTTCCAACCAGCTCTTACGTCTTGAGTCCTGTTTTCAGTGACAATTCTTCAGAACTTATGGATTAACCGATTGGTGGTCTGAAAATAGGATACCCCAAAGTTTGCATCATCATTTTCCCATAATTTTTCCATCATTATCCCATCATTTTTCTGGAAAAGATTGGTTCATCATCATTTTTCCATCATTTTTCCCTACAAAAAATGGCGATTTTCTTTTGGGAGATCCCATCAATCCAGAGCGTCATCTCGACAGGGTCCGGGTCGTCTTCCAGCACCGAAGCCTACGAGCGCTACTACAGGTGGATGGGGAAGAACTTGGCGAAAAACTGTCTAAAACTGTGGTTATTAACAGGGGTTGGGGAAGAACTTGGTTGGTAAATGTCCCATTTTGGTGATTTTGAACATCACTTGAAGAAGTATTTGTTGGACATTTACCAACCCCCGATTAAAGGTGAACAACTTGATTTCTACAGGTGAGAGAAACATTCTGAACGGTTCTGAAACAGGTTGATCCACAGTTGATACAGTCTATACACAGTGGGGCAGTAGGGAAGAGAAGACGCTTGAGACGACTCTTTCATGTTTTGCGATGGTAGACATTTTAAGATGTGACAGACTCTTGAGAGCTATGAGGGGGTATGTTCCATTCATGACATGTGTTGGGTACCCTCTGGTAATTTAACATAGCTATTGAAAATGACCATTTATAGTTGATTTTCCCATTAAAGATGGTGATTTTCCATAGCTATGTTAGTTTACCAGAGGGTATGGGATGGTCTGGGTCAAAAAAGGATCCTTCCCAAATTGGGGGTGTCAAGCCGAGCCAACTCCTTCAGCCTGGGCCTGCAGTCGTCGACCCTCGGCGTTGCAAGCGAAGTCGCCGACGCCGGAGCCGCAGCTGGCGATGCCAACATCAGTGCCTCGGCGTGCAGCTGTTATGGTTGAAGGGTCATTCACTTGCCACTTGGATGAGACCATTGGGAGGTTGAAAGTTTCTTGAAATATGTTGAAATCGGAGATGAGAACTCCAAACCACAGATGTTTGGCAAAAGATGTTCTTGCGGAAACGTATCCGCAGCTTTTGAACGATGCTTTGAAGTATTAAGTATATATATATACTTCTTCATAGAATCCAAACCTGCACCCTAGCTCCCTCGAAGCAGAAATTCTGGGTAGTGTGACCAGTTCTTGAAGTCGGTGGCTGATTGATCACAGTGGAAGGAACTGAGTAAGCGGTTTCAATACAGCGCAACTGCCATGACTGACGCGGGGTACAGCAGGATCCCCAGCAGATGATGTAGCAATGCCTGAGTTTTCCATTTCGAATCTGCATCACAGGGATAGTAGCACATGACGACAGCACATGTTTTGGAAGGTTCCAAATCATCCAAATTCGATTCTTTCCATCATTGATTCAATTCATGCAAGCAGCAAGCAGTACAAGCAGTTGACATGGTTCGAATCGGACCCATCTCCTTTTTGAGTTGGTATTTTCCAGATTATTCCTTATGCGCTTTTGTTGTTAGGGTTTGCCATTGGACACCACAACTAGCCGGGAACTCTCCCCGATGGACTGGCACCTGCACACGTTCCCAGGCCAAATATCTCGAACGGACCGGCAGGTGCAGGGGATGCCTTGATTGATCAGTGGTTGGAACAGCGATATCAATTTGATTTCAGATTCAGAATATATGACTATAGATTTATAATTTATATATGATAATATATACAGATTTAAATCAAATCCCGATTGGATAAGTTGATCATATTTGAGAAGTTGATCCAAGGAATCCAATGGACAGTGGGGATACCATCTTCTCCGACAAGCCAGGCCACCAAGCCTTCCAGGATGGTTGGGAAACTCAAGAGTTGATGGGGGAACTCTGTGAAATCTTTGGGATGAACTCATGAACTCCCACGAAAAGTGGGGAACTTCACCGTGGTGCAAAAGGGCTATGTGGTGCTTCTACATCTTCTACAAGGAAGGATTCCATGCCTGCTTTGCTGCGGAAACCGGTGGAATGAGCCCTACAACTAGAGGATCGGCATGACCAGTCTCCGCCAAATGAGGTCCTTGCGCTTCTACAAGCCAGAGGCGGAGATCCGTCCCTGCACTGGGAACACCTATAAAGGTAGTCTGAATAGCTTCAAAGTGGAGAACCACAACGCTTGGTTGTTCTCATTAACCACCATTTTACCATTAACCACCATTATACCATCAAACCTAAGTGGGTTTCACCATTTAACCATCCATTTCCTTCCCAGCTAACCATGCACCACTGACCCACAGCCAAGCTGCGCCGCCTGGCAGGCCCTGCCACGGGTCTCTGTGCCGCGGCATGTGAAAGTCGGGGTCACCCAATGCGGAACTTCACTGGATTTCTGGTGGCACTTTTTCTCTCACTGGATCTGGGGATGGCTATGGAAAGTGGAAACTACTGGGTGAAATGCATCAGCTTCGACAGCTTCGACAGCCCCGAATCCCAAGGTGGAGCCGATGGATGCAGTTCAGGTGGCCATCAGACCTCCAAGGCCATCACGTTTTGAAAAACCATGAATTGGGTGCAACAAAAACCATCCTTTTGTGGTAGGTTTATGGCATTGGGTTTAGCAGTTTAGCACCTCATTTTGTGTTTGAACAGTTTCTTTTTTCATGTTTTATCAATATTGCTCATTTCGAGCCTGAGTTTCTTGGTTTTTGAGGAGCAGTTTGAAGAACCTGTCAGTCTAGATTGGTGACCTGGGTGCTGTGAGTGTTGCTGATGCAAGCCCTTTGGCTCGGAAGAGATGCCCAGACATGTCAATTCAATATAAGATATATAAGAGTGAGGAGAGACCCCTTGAGTCAGTGAGTATTGGCTTGTATCGCGCTGAAATTCTGATTGATACGACTGGTGCGATTCAATCAAGTGCTTGCATGCTGAAACCAATTCCAAACCATGGGGAGTGCAGGGGTGATGCCATGAACAGAATGATCGCGTAGAGTTTGTAGATACTTCAGCACCATCATCAGTTACAAGCTCGCCATTTTTGCTGCGGATTTTTTGCCGGCGTTGTGCTGCTGATCTGTTGAGATGTCTGTCGAGCTGTCTGAGATGTGCAAAGGCGTCCAGCCATGTGTCTTTGGGCTAAACAGCTACAGTTGGGTGGTAGTTGGTGGAACTGACGAAATGCCAATGGCTGGAAGATAGCTGGAACCATTGCACCAGCCTGAAAACTGCAGGAAACAAATCTAAGGTAAACCAAAACTCAACTTTGGGAAATGTGCCTTTGAGATCAGCTCAACAATGATGATGTCATCCCACTGTGCCCAGGTCGTTGAACCTTGCAGCTACTTGGTCGCCTTTTCGGGTGCCTGAACCTCAGACCCAGACCCAGTGAGTCGGATTTCTGACGACTCAACAGGAGCATGACAGATCTTAAACCCGCAGTCAATTAATCAGTGCTATCATCTTCGTGAAACAGGCTGCTTTCTTTAAAGATCTGTCTGTGCCCGGGGAGTGATTTTTCTGGCAAGCAAAATCGCAGAAACTGAGGTCCTGACGCTGCGTTTTCGCGGCTTTCCACCGCAACTCGTTGGATTGAAGGACCCTGCCTGGATGATGGGGACATGTTTGAAGGTTTGGAGAATGGGAAATCTTCAGCTTTCAGGGGGAAGACTCACCAGAACTTGGCAAGACTGCTGAATGATGATGGCTGCTCACTTAGTTTTGTATGGTTTTCTGACTTGCTGTGAGTAAGTTTTCGTATTCCCATTTTCCATACCACACTGATTGTCCATCGAAGTAGTGTATTTTTTTCAGTCTGGTCAAGCCTAGTTTTTTTTGTTGACGCAACTCAAGTATTTGCTTCTTCATCCTTTCCAGTCAGGCATTTGACAGGTGAATTGCAATCTCCCCCATTAGATCCCATTAGCAAGTCAACAGACCATATATTAAGGATGTTTGAAGTCCACCAGCCACAAAACGCAGCCAGTTCCTACTATTCTTATGTATTTTGTCACTCCAGAAACTCTTTTTCCATTTGCATATATTTAATATCCATTGACCATCAAGCTGACTGCTAGTCGCATGTCAATGTTGAACCAGGAGCGAATGCTTGTGGACTACCAGGGCCTGGTGAAGGAAGGCCCCGGCAGTTTGTGGCCAAAGAGTACTTTGGGAGCGCTGGTCGATGGTAAGCGACCCTTGGTGACGGCTGGTGAGTTGGGCCAGAGTGATGTCCTTGACATAGCTATTGGAACATCACCATTATTTACTAGGTACAAAACTTTTATTTTTTTGGGCCATGGCAACATCTGAGGCTTAGATCGGGAAGCCTTGAAGGTGCTACAAGAGCTTTGTGCCAAAGGTGAGGAACGGCTCAAGTCGATGGTGCCTATGACATCTACGAAGGGCTGGGTTGATGGGGGACATCCAAATGCCATAAACCTACCATTTTGAGGATGGCTTATACCACCCATTTAGGGTAATAATATTGGGGATAGTTGATTACTGGCCTTTTTACAGTACTGTGAAGGATCCCGTAAGTTCCGGGTAGACAGCAACCGCTCAATGGGGGTAGACGGAGAATCAAACCTAGTCCAGCGACGGTCTGTGCGTCGCTGATAGTCGTCCTTGTCTTTCACCATTTGGAGATTATTTTTCCAAGACTGCTGACCCGAATTGATGATAGGATGGAAAAGCGACCGTCGCGGGGAGTGATGACTGGCAGGGATGGTGATGCCTCAGTTTTTTTTGCATGAGGCCAAATATACAGTACAGTACCAAATACATCCAAATGCATCCACATACCTGGTTTCAAGGTAAACATGGCAAACCATCCTACACCAACCGCACAGCTGTACGTTTTCTCCAGGTGCCCCTAGGAAGACCTTAGTCTGCTCAGTCCTAGACTCCCTCATGACAAAGATCTCAATCCTGCATGGGACCACATGAACATGCTGAATCTCAAGAAAAAGGCACGGAACCAGTTGAAATATGTTGAACATTGGTGAAATATGTGATGAAGCAGAGACTTCAGGTAGTGCTCAATCAACTCAATAGTACGACAGAATTGATGGGGGAAACTAACATATTATTACGTATATAATCATATACAATCATATACATATAATATGATCTCTAGATGCCCCCGCGCGCACACACACACACACATTTATGCATGTTTGTATTTTCGTAGAGTTCCACATGATTCCACATTATTCTGTTTGAACGTGGCCCATAGGCTCAAGTGGGTGGTTCTCCACTTGCCTGCCCTTCCGACTAAAGTTCCTCCGTGTTGTTTTGTTTTGCCTTGCCGCGCTCATATCAGACATCGATTCGACATCGATTCGACATCGATTCGACGGTATCGATAGGTATCGATATCAGGATCTGAAACTATGGAGAGATTGGAGAGTCTGGAGGTTTCGGTGACAGTCCACAGCCTTGGAGGGGACACTCTTTTGGAGACATGTTCGGTGTCTTCGATCCAGGATATCCATGAGCTGGCAGATGCGTCGGCTCAGAAGCTGAATGCGAAGAAGTGTCACATGGTCTCCTCTGACGGGAAAATCATCTCTGAGTTTTTTGATCTGAAAAATCACGATCGACTCACAGCAGTGGCGCAAAATGTGAACCCTTTGTTGCAATTAGTCGGGTTGCAGAACGCACAGGGCGACCTGGTGGACGCAACATACGCAACTGTACCGATGGAATTGCTGGAGCAGATAGCTTTGGAGGTCGCTTCTGGGCTTGCGCACATCGCCTGTTGGTTCGGAGGTCCTCAGCATCTCGCTGGGTCTCCGAGTCTTCCCTGGAGGTTCGGCTCGGTCTTACCACCTCCTGGTCGTTTCAATGACGAGATGCGACTGAGGATTGGGCCCGGCACTCCCGTGGTACATCTGGGCGCCATGGTGGTTTTGTCCATCACAGATGGTTTGCCATGTTTTCCTGCCGTGCAAAAGATCAGAGCAACCAGAGAGCTAACAGTTGATGACATCATCAAGATCCGATCTGCCCATCAAGATGAATGCAACAAGAACAAAATGAAGTTGCTGGAACAGCATCCAGGGGCAGATACAGTGCTGGCTATCATGAGCTTGGTGAGATATACAGCGGAGGAAGTGTTCTTTGAGCTTGGGCACCGCGCCTTGAAGCTTGGAGATGACATCTAGGAAGACGAGGTCGACTCTCAACTCATCTCGACTCTCGTCGACTCAAACTTCAAATGACTCAAATGAAACGACAACGAGACTCGATTCGTCGAGTTTCGTCGAGTTTCGTCCATTCCTTGGCAAAACTCGGCGCTCTCATTTTGTTTCGGGAAGACTCCGAATCCTTGGCCTCCATGGGTCGGGTAGAGGGGTTTCTCTGTGACAACTGGGTCGTAAGCGAAATTCGGAGCATGCCCTCGGTGACATGCTGTCCCTGTGATAGGGAACAACAGGAAAATGGACACATCGGACAGGATATATCAAAGGCATTCACAAGCTTTCATCAGCAAATATTACCAACATCTACTCTACCATCAATACTTATCACCTACTCATCTACTCATCTATATATAATTCTATGTATACTGTAATTTATATTACATATGTCATATCCACTTTGAATTGCTTCAGAAGTCGAGAATCCTTTTGTCCGGGAGACTCGAGGAATTTATCAGTTGCAAGTGGCTATTCCTTGCGACCTTGACCCAGATGACCGAGAATCAAACCTAGTCCAGCGACGGTCTGTGCGTCGCTGATAGTCGTCCTTGTCTTTCACCATTTGGAGATTATTTTTCCAAGACTGCTGACCCGAATTGATGATAGGATGGAAAAGCGACCGTCGCGGGGAGTGATGACTGGCAGGGATGGTGATGCCTCAGTTTTGTTGCATGAGGCCAAATATACAGTACCAAATACATCCAAATGCATCCAAATACCTGGTTTCAAGGTAAACATGGTAAACCATCATACACCAACCGCACAGCTGTACGTTTTCTACAGGTGCCCCTAGGAAGACCTTAGCCTGCTCAGTCCTAGACTCCCTCATGACAAAGATCTCAATCCAGGGACTCGGGCACTTCCAGTGACGATAGTGACTGTGTCTAAAACCGTTTGAATATGTCTATGAGCGCTCGGCTCTACAAATCATGTGAGTGTCTTGCCAGAAAACCTGCAAAACCTTTCCAGCAACTCTTCTTCCAACTAAAAGATAGTGTGAGTTAGTCTTTGAGGTCTTCCTTTGGAAAATGGAACATGGTGTAAAACAACAGCTGATTCCACCCTTCCGATTCCAGTTTCGATCCTCAGGCACTTTTCATAATAGGGATGAACATATAATCCTCAAGCATTTTTGACGATGGAATTTCATCCCCATGGCCTCATCGATGAGGCTTTACAGCTTCCAGTGGATGTCCTGAGTCCCTTGGCACATCAGACAGGAGGTTTTTGGGCCATGTTGGCGCTCCCCTTCAGCCAACATCCCAGGCCCAAAAAAAATCTTTTGGAAGAGTGTCACTATGATATCATGTCTTGGGTCTTTTCCAACCCCGGACTTGCTGGACATCAGTTCCCTGCTGAGGTTTGGTGTTCTACGAGAACAGGGCCTTGGAGCGCCGCTTCCAGACCACTTCCTTACCCTTGGTGCCACAGGGCGCGGGGGCGCGTGATGTGTCTGCACCAGCGGAGGACAGGGATCCAGTTATATCAAGGGTTGGAGGGCCATCACACATATGTTTTCTCGGACGGTCTTTGTTGCACATCGTCTCTGATGTCTCTGGTTGTTTGGTGAAGTAAAAGGTTCAGCGTATCTTGGTATGTAGGAAACCCATGGATAAAAAAGGGTCCCAGATTGTGACCCAAAGCAGCGATTGCAGCCCCTGCGCCCCGTGTGTTACCAGGAGCAACTGAAAAGGTCGGATGACACGCAGCTGGAGACCTTAGAGGAGAGCTATTGGGAGAAGGCTTCCAAGGATGGCAATCGCGAGCCTCACTACAGGAGCCAAGTGCTGTTGAAGGTTTGTGAGGGGATAAAACATGGGCTGCAAAGAAATGTGGAAGTGAACATGCTGGTTTTCTGCAAAACTTTCAAAACGACTAAACTATTTTGTTTCCTCAGGTGACACAGGATTGGATATGATGGTTCACCAACCTTGGCCCAGACTTGGCATGGGCGATGGCACACCTGCTGATTGGAAGACCTCTACGCCCAAAAATTGGACATCATGCCTATTGCACTGGTCATCCAATACAGCCCATGATTCCAGGTGGATGTGGAGTGTAAACATCACCATCAACAAAAAATCAACGTACCCATCATCAATCATCAGCTGTCCTCCTGCCTGGCAGAATGGCCGGACCACCATGATTCAGGAGCCCCCACCCCGGAACCACCTTGGTCTGGGACTATGGGAAGTTGGAAATCGACGCGGTGCAGAAACTGCTGAAGGAGTTGCAGGTGCCAGCTGTGACAGCTGTGAGTTGTTTTAGTCGGAGTTTGAGACTTTGTAAAGGATTGTTAGACATTGCAACCCCATCCTTGATCTCCACCGTTGCTGCAGATCCCGTGCCCTCACCCGAACGACCTCCAATAGGTTGGCTAGGTACATATCCAACGATTGGTCCATCATCCCATGAATTTCCTCAGGTCTTTCGACAAGAAGTGATGAAAGCACTTCCTGGCTACTATGTCTTCTTCGATGAAGGTGCCCTGCACGTGCCTGGGCCTGTGAATGGAGGTGGATGCACAGCAGGATGATGTTTTTCAAATCATATTTCGGGTGAGTTTTCGTTTGCCCAGATCCTATGCTATCAACCCAAAAAATCCAAATGTATCCAAATGTATCCAATATCATCAGTGTCGCCAAATATTTGGGCAGATTGGCAAAGATCAGCCACAGCCAGGTCACCATCCGGGGGATGCAATAAGTCTACACTCCCGAGACGCTGCGTGGTGCAAAATGGATGGCCTTTGCTCAGTGCGAAAGTTGGACAAAGTTGAAAGAGGTTGAGAGTTGACAGAGTTGAAGGATAAACATTTTAGCTATCACCGGTTCGGACTCGTTTTCTGAGCATGAGTCCCTGGCCCTCAATGTCATCCTTGGTCCGTGCCCCTGGCAGCCCTTGGCAGGGCGCTGAATCAGACGCAAAAGCGTTTCCGCGCCACGCGTCGTGCGGGCGCTCAGGTGAAACTGTAAACCTCAGCTGGCAACTGTCTGCCATGATGATACCAGCCATAAATAGCAACCATAATGGGGATATCGGCAATGATATGGATTTGTCCAAAAACGGAGGCCTTTTTTCTCAATGATCCTCAATGCATGGCAATTCTAGTGGAACACTATAATCAAAAATCAAAATTATCCAATTTAGGGTACTCTAAGAGTGGACAAAACTACTTGACCATGGTAGGGAAGGCAATTCCCCCCGCCATCATCAGTCCAGAAGGGGCCTTTTGTGGTGTGCCTCGATCTCGAACTCCGTTCTGCCCAGAAAAGCGTCGTCAGCCCGAGCTACCTGCCCTGGAAGGTGGGGTTGTGGCAGGGTGCTGGCGATGGCTCAAGATGAACATCAATAGACAGCCCCACAAAAGAGTGGATATAGTTTGTTTGATGTGGAGTCAATTGCTGTGCAGCCTTGCTCATTTGGATTTGACAATTGAAATGTGTGCATTTCATGTTTAAAATCAATCCATTAGTTGTGTGAATTCTGCATCCCGGCACAGTCAATGCCGACGGTACCTTCGACTTCCCCAGCGTGCGACGATTGTTGGTTGGCAGCCCCAGTTTCCCATTGGTTGGTTGGTTGATAGAGGGGTCACTCCAGTAAACAACCAATAGGTAAATGATGGTAAATGGTATCCAAGCCGATCAATTTTTCCCAAAGGGACATCATTGGTTGTGATGATTTGCGACGAACGGACGAGCTAATACCGGAGTCCAATGTTGCAATTGAAATTATTGCTGGGCTTGATTTGGTGAGCATAGTGACTGGGGCACTCAGGAGAAAGTAAGTTGGGCGTCAACTTTTTGACTGCAACCATTGAAAGATGACCTTTGGATGGAATCAATCCATCCCATTCCCAATTTTTCCTAGATACAACATGATACAACATATATATATAGTACATTGTCCTCTCTGAAGTAGATTGACCATGATTGACCCAAGTTCCCAAATCTCCGAAAAAAAATCCAGGAGATGGAATCAATCTCCCAAGGCCTCCTGGGAGGACTTTGAGCCGCAGGTTCCGGTCCGGAAACGGCTCACCCAGGAGACCTGGGGGATAGATAGCCTGATAGCCCCGCATTTTGGCAAGTTTGATGGGGAAGATCTAGATCAACTCATAAGAAATATGGCGGCTGATCATCATTTCTGGAAACTGCCCGAGAATAGACAGTTTTTCATCAGGACAAAACTACTCCTTTGGAATTGGGGGTACCCGGTGTTCAAACCAACCCATTTGCCATCGATTTTCTGTCATTGCGACGAGGAGTGGAAGCCCAGTCTGCCAGAAGAGTGCGTGCAGCGGAGCAACAGCCAGGGTGCCGATGCCCACAGTCGCAGTGGTAGTCGCAGCGGTAGCCGCAGCAATAGCCGTAACGACACTCCGCGCGATGCCGAAATGAAGGCAGGGCATCACTATGCATCCCTGATATGGAGCGTTCAATTGGGGGCTGTTCTGCTGTTCTGGTATCCCTCCATCCCCCATTTTGAGACACGGCCATCTGTGGGTTTCACAGGTTAGAACTGGGTCTGCAGTCAGGGATGATCAGATTATCATCACAACTCCTTGCAACCCAAGGGGTCATCATCATTTTTCCAGTTCAAATCAAAGGATTATCAAACATGATCTTATATATATATATATATACACTGTATATATATATATTTATATCTATACACATCCCATATCATCCCAGAATACATTATAATCCATTTCAGTTTAGAATCCATTCTAAGCTTGAAAGCACTGCGCACCTTTTCTGAGCAAAAAATGCCTTCAGGTCGAAGGTACACCTCAGTCGGATTTGCGCGTGTCATCCCTTGGCTGGACAGACTCCCCCAAATCGTGTTCCATCACGATTTCACCAGGGATTTCGAATTTTTGATGTCTAAAAACATCTAATTGACATCCAAAAAGGTTACCTACAAGGCTACCTAAAAGTCAAAATTTCAGGCTCAAGGCATTTTTCCTCTTTGGGTTGGTCTTCCACACTTTGTACATAGCGGCCATTTTCTGTGGAGACCAACCTTTGCCCTTGTTTTCATGTTGGAAAAGGTTCCATGGATTATGGAGATCTAACTTTACACCTACATCTACTATCCCACCTTCAGCGGCATAACCACGGCTGCCACCAGACGCCAGAGAGCCGCCCGCTGCAGAAGGAACAGCCATACCGCAGCCGCCGCTAGCCGCCGAAGATTCAGCGCCACCAGAGCCGCTCATCGCAGAAGGTCCACTTGAGCACGCTGCTCCCTTGGAGTGAGCTTGCCTCTTGCTGTTATCCAAATTACTTTGCAATGGACCAGCGCTCGAAGTGCTCTGCTCCAAGCCCGACCTTCTTGACATAGATCTGGAAGAAGCGCTTAAGCCCGACTGTCGCATAAAACTCAAAGGCGTCGCGCTTGAATCACGAACATCATCATTGCAAACCATGGTAGTGGAGCTCGTTGATGAAGTTCGCATCTCACCAGCTGGATCCGGCGATGTTGACCACCATACATGCAATCGCCGCACACAACATCGACCAGCCTGAACTGCCAGCTTGCCAGCAAAGATTGCCCCCAAGATCATCAAAATCACCGCAGCAATCCAAAGTGGATCCGCTTCATCACGTTCTCCTTTGATTTCCAAGGCTTCAGCTTCGGTTAGAAGAGTTTGGCTTAAAAGTAGGCTCATGGCTGCCACACCCCCAGAGTAAACATGTTCTGGAGTTCTGATTCCTCGCACTTGGGCTGCTCGTACATGAGGATCCTCGGCTTGCAAAAACGGTTGCGTCATCCCAAGGTTCTCCAAGAAACGCTTGAAAGCAACACCCAAAAGTGGCTTGGTTAAGCCATCTGCGACCAGATCCAGGCCGCGCACATGGATCAACTTCCATTGACCAGAACCAGCAGGGCCAGGTTCTTCCAAGGCTTCCCTCAACAAACTGGACCTGATCCTCAAATGGCGTGTTCGCCAGGACGCTGCAGTTGTTTGGTTTGCCAGCCCAATCGCAGCCAAATTGTCACCATAGATGACCTTCTCGACCACCTGGACTTCAGTGAGCTCTTTGACAAGTGCTTCAGCAGCTTTTCCAGCTATCAAGCCTTCGCAGTATGAAACCAGCTCAGCTTCAGCCGTGGAGTGGGTCACAAAGGGCTGCGTGTTGGTCTGCCAACAAATTGGTTGGCCACCCAAACAAACTACAATTCCTTGGACAGATCGGTGCACTGTCCCCGCTGAATAAGCGATGTCACAGAAGACTTCTAACAGAAGATCGCTTCTTTTCACCTTCAACTGACCATGGGCACCCCAATCATCAGGCACCGTGGCAGTATAGTGTAAACCGATGCCAGGGTTCCCCTTGATGTATTTCATCATCGTGTTGCCTATGGCCACAGCTCTGGTCGGTGCCCTTGTCATCAACCTGCTCATAGTAGCCACACCGTGGGCTAAGTCAGGACGGGTTCTTGTGCTCAACCAGAGTAGTGAACCTGCCATAGCTTGTGCTGTTCTCAGTGTTTCCGGGTTGATGTCTTCTTTGCATTCTTCATCTTCAACCACCTTGTAGTTTGGGAACTCTAACGATCCAGTGATGTTCCAACGCTTCAGCATCTCCTGCTCATACATATGCTGATTGACTCGGAAACCGTTTCCATCAGGATCTTCAGAAACTTCCAAACCACAGTCCTTGAGCGGTTTGTTGACTTCCACCCATTCCACAGATAGCCAGGGCCTTGACAAAGCTCTCATGGCACCCTGAACTGCTTCTTCGCCAGCAAGAAGAATGTCATCAACGTAGACTGACATCAGCCCAGACCAGCATACATGTCCTGAATCCAGCTCCTTTTCTTCAAGACGCCACATGTTGTTGTCCTTGGTTTTCTTGAAAGAGCCTTCAACTTGACATCCTTCACGGTTACGACACCATTTCAAAGTTGGGAGCACCTCATCACGATGAACGCACCAGTCTCTTGGTGTTGCTTGGAGGCCATACATTGCAAGGACAATCAGCCAAACTTCGTCCTCTGCAGCCAACCCCAAGAGTTTGAAAACATAGGGAACCTCCATAGCCACCAACCTGGAGTCATTTCGGCGAGGTGCATTGAGGAAGGCAGTGCGGATGTCTGTTGATGCCAACCGCCATTTTCTTCGAGCTGCAATCCTCAAAGCTGTTCTGATTTGAGTTCCATCAGCGCCACCAGCATATGTGTTGTCATCATTGGGGGATTGATAATTCCCACACACCACAGCTCATGGAACGATAGGCCCCTGATCCGGCCTTTCGAGTGTGAACCATTTTCGCAGGCAAAATTTCAAGGTCTTTGCCTTCCTTCTCAGCCAGAGCTCGAAGATCAGACTTGGTCATTGGCTTCATCGCCCCTTTGGATACCACAAGTTGCTCATACTCAGCAACAATGGATTCTTTCCAATCTTCAAGGTGATCTCTGACTTCTTTGTTGCCGATGGTTTTTGTCACCAGGAACTCATTTGTCAGCTGCTTTTGCGCTTCATCTCGAACTTGCTCATCAAGATGGTGCGGCTGCTCTTCAATTTCAACTTTTCGCAGCAAAACTTGGTTGATTGCAGGGAAGTTCCAAGTTTGCTCAGGTGAAGTTCCATCAACCCTCCCCAGCTCCTCAATGACATAGTCCGCCATGTTGCAGTGAAGCGTCTCCAGGGCTTGGATCTTTGTCATGACGTGAGGGCTTCTTGTGCTAAATGAGGCCATCGGGCGTCAGCCACCATCCCGATTGTTAGGCGGCCCCTCCTTCTCCCCTCCTCCAACAT